GAGAAATATGTAGATACGTATGCGTTCGGAATATTTTTCTCTGGGACTGATTTTTCCGAGGAAAAGTACGTCCTTTCGCCCATTGCATTCACATATATTAAGTCCACCGAAAAGTTCTGTCCGATAATGTCATCTCAACATCCAAAGATTAGTCATTCTACAGAAATGGAGTCCACAAATTACCATCACGCTGGGAAGAGATCATTGGTAACGATGGAAATTATATTGTTCACTGAGAAAAATGTATTATTTTCTTTTAACCTAACACATATATTCACGGTTCATCTTAAAGTTGAACAGATCTCTTATATCTTCGAAATCAGGTTACATTGGAGAAGGCAGTATGGGAAACAGGGTAGAGACAGCGTGGTTTTGAGAGACAATATATTAACCCTTTCGTGACAAAATGATTTTTCTTAAGAATTTGTTAATCTACCCCTTCAATTCTACCCCTTCGTTCCTATACCAAAATACACTCTGTCAATTTGTCTCCGTTCATCGAACAATCAGTTTACGTGTCTAGCGTAAAAATTTGCATGGTACAGGTTCGCAAAGGCTCGAGTCTCTTTGACGACTGCGCCGTTTACAAGGGAACGACGATCGTGTTTCCAAAGAGGTGCTCTAACTTGGTAATGAAAATTCGAAATCACGAGCTGCACGCGCACACCGACGGCTCTGCATAATTAAAAGACTGCTGGACCAAGGAAGCTATTAGTAAATTAACAATTACGTCTGTCCAATTAGTTCAGCTCGTTATTTCACCTTCTCAGTCGGGGAACTTTGCGTCCGGGGGATCCTCGAGCGAGCCCGGAATAATCTTTAAAAGCGTCCTGCTTCGAGTTAGCCTGTTTACCGAGACGGTTTCAAAACAGACGACTGGTAAAAAAAAAAAGGAAAAAAGCCTATCGTTAATTCCTCGAAAGCTCGTATTTATTGTAAAATTACGCAGATTATTACGCTCCTCTTCGGATCGCCTCTTTCCACCCATGAACGAGAAGACAAAAGGAAAGAAGGAATTTTATCAAATATTTTTCTGAAATTTCATTTTCATCCGAGAGGCACTTTAATCGAACACCACCGACACATTTCCAGGCCCCATTATATAAGACACTTTGGTGCAGCAAAAGCGCTGGTTCAGCGAACGAGGTTGATGTTAATGAAACGTTAACAGGGTAGACCGCTTGTTTATCGTTCGCCTGGAAAGAAAACGAGGATAACCGTGTAAATAATAGCCGAGGCTGTTGTCAAATATAACCAGTACTCGTGGAGGCGTGTGCTCTAACCTGGCAGTTGCTCGCAATTTAAATTAAAAGTCCGCGAAGACCGCGACGCGCCACGCGCAGAAACTTAATTTCCCCTCGTTTAAGGCTGAATTTTTCCCTATTTTTTTCTCCACTCGCTAGCTCGATTTAAGGGACCGACCACCATAATCGCCTCTTTCTCTAAACGCTACCTCCTCTCACGCGAAGCTCTCTCTTCTCCGTGCTGTATCGCAACTCCCTACCATTATACCCGTTAACCGCGATCCACAAGCTGGCCGAATGAAACGCGTCTCTCGGCGACCATTAACCGAATTTCATCTCGTGACCGTTTAATTGCGCGTCTTTCGAATAGACTCGCGACCCAGTTGTGCGCTACCGGCGCTTCGCGTCCATTTTCCAAAGCGCAGTACCGCTACGTGTTAATAAAGCAACTGAAATAAAAAAAAAAAAGAAATAGATTTCACCTACCTGTGCGCGTGTATATATACACACGCGCAATTTCACAGTCGAACCTTCCGGTTCGATGAATTTCGTACCGTTTCCTCCCCGAAAATTTCCCTCCCTCTACGTGTGTACACGTGGGAAAAAAAGTGAAACGATTCCGGGCAAAAGCGATTTCCGATCGTCGAATTTACCCGTGTACAGAGGTGAAACGATACACGCTTTAGAACAAGCCAGGCGGCAACTACTAACGATCCTGTCCTTTCTCTTACACCTGAGTTAGCTCCTTCTCTGTCTAACTCTCGGCTGACGTGCCTGCTTCCCTGACGTATCTATGACGCATAATAAATAGACGCAGCCTAGAGGTTGCGGCAGGCTGAAGGGAGATCGTGACGCTCGGCTGGCATGCAAAGCATCGGCAAAACCGCAGGAATCTCGTTAGCGTATGCAAATCCAGGGTGGCGGTACTAACTATCCCATCGTGCTCCGCGCGCAATCCCCACCTAATGTACACTGTATGCCCCGAAGCTTAGAAATCACGCGGCCGGAGAAGAATTCTAACGACAGGCTAATGGGAACCGGCTAACTTTCATCGGTCTCTCCCTCGCTCCGGTCGTTGAAAATCGACATAGGCGACAGAGGTTCGATGTTGATCGATCAACGATTGCCAGCGGGATGGTGTGTTCCACGACTTTTCGCAATTTTCGTTCGCGGGGGTGACTCGAGGCGATCGAATGTCGGTTAAAGGGGAGTTTCGCGAAAATACTCTTTAGGTTCTCCGATGGAAGAGGAAAATTATCAGTCGCCTCTCTTTTTCTTTTTTCTTGAGAGGGAGGATTTTGCGGAGGATGTAGCCTCGATGGAGACAGTTTTGGTTTCTTTTTTACAATTCTACGAAACGAGCAGGTTTCTTTGATAGAAGATGATTACCTTTTCCTGGAGTTCTACGGGAAGCAAACTGCTTTGACAGAGAAGGAGTGCCTTTTTGTAATTCTACGAGAAGCAAGCTTCCTCGATGGAACATCGTTGCTTCTCTTGTTTCGATATTCTCTGTGTGGGAGGGAGTTTGAACTTTTTTGATTTTCCGAAGGAAATTAGATTTTGATGAATTAGTTGGGTTTTTTGTGGGAAATTTTTGATTCTATTAAGATCGATTGTGTGTTAGAATTTATCGGCGGTAGTTGGTGGAATTCTAAGGGGGATGTTATTTAGTTCCAATCAATATCTGCGTTCTAAAGCATGGAATCTAGTAGCAGTGGAAGCAATCAGGGCCCAATCACTTGTTCGAACATTTCTGTCTAAATTCCCTGACTTTGTATCTTAACCGGTTAGGACAGAAGTGTTCAGTTCCGGAGTCAGTTCGTAACTCTGTCCAACAAACCGACTCGAGAGCAAATCTCTTTAATCAATGTAACAAAACTTCATTTGGGAACATTCGTTTAGAAAGTTTCGTTATTTGTAAGCTTATTTACTGTTCTTCAGCGATCTGTATTCGGCAATATTTACCTGTTAATGGTAAAACAGCAAGAAAGGAAGAAAATCCTCGTTTCGTAGAGCGTTCTTTGCAAAATACTTTGAATTCCTTTGAAATTTAACTGAACGCACATACTTTCGAAAAATTCGAGAAAAATCGAGTTTGTGGGTTATCTGTAAGTTATTCCAAGGGGCGCAGGAAGAAGGCCATAAAAAAGAAAATGGGGACGCAAATCAGACTATTTTGCGAGGGTTCTCGACAGCGCACGAGGTCCACAAGTGTGGCAGCTGTTTGTAACGAGAAAAATCCAAAAGTGGCGCGAGTGTGTGGAAAGTGAAAAAAGGAAGAACATATAGAGTGTATATGACAAAAAAAAGTATGTTACGATAATTACCATATTCGTCTTTCTATCTGCTAAAAGATAGGCAAAAACTATTATAGGGATCCATTCAGAAAACTAAAGGTGACCTGGATAACTTAGAAAAGTTAGTAAGCCCTTTTAACCCACTCGAGGCCGGCGACTTTTCGAAAGCCGGCCCGCAGGAGCGAAAATTTTGTTTGTCTTTACATTGAAAATTGAGAACAGGAAAGATGTTTGGGAAGTGAAAAATTAACATCGTAGACATTTTTCGTACGAATCACCATGCGTGTCTACACTCACTTTGTGGTCCTAGCTTGAAACCAACGCAGATTTCAATACCTACAGAACTATAGCTTGTACTTCGTTTAAAAATGATTAGCTTCGTGATTAGTACTTCAGTAGTAACATAATATGAATCCATGATCGTTACACACACGGTGTGTCATTGGTCTTTTCGCCTAGGGACGACATTACACACGAGGTGTGTGTATTGAAACAAAAAAGATTTCGTATTGGTCCAGTAGTAATGGAAATAATTAAGGCGACCAAGTTGCCTTGTCCACCCTGTATATAGAGAAAGGGGAGTGTTATCGAGACGATCAGTGTCCTGTAAAGAAGAATATTGCAGAGAGCGTTGCATGAGTTTTTGCATTTTGCAAGTTGCGTGAAATTATCGCTGCACTCCCTCGTCGTATTTCGTCAATTGTCATTGTCACAGACCGTTACACTCATAAACTGCAAAAAATTCAACAAATTTTTCAAACTGCCGCACTGTATGTCACCCCTTAACGTTCAGCCACGTGAAAAAACAGATCTCTCGAAAACGTAACCGGCTCGAAGAGAGATATTGCCGGCCAATGGAATTGCGGGCGTGGCGTTCAAAGGTTGAATCCATTACCGTTGTTTGCTCCTGTTCTTGTTTCTATCGCTCACCCACCAACAATTCTCCTTCGTCTCTTCAATTACCTCCCCAAACTCCTTCTCTCGAAAGAGGAAATAGTTTCGCCTGTGATACTCGATCGGGCTGAATCGACGAAGAGAGAAGGAAAGAGAGAAACGAAAGAAAACCGAGGCTCGCCATTGTATCGTTCAGACCACGGCCAGTCAAATGGTTACCAACCTTCTTCTTTCTTTCCACCGGTCGGAAAAAGGGGGAAGAAAATTTCAAGTTTCAACGGCCATCGAAGTTACCGAACGAACGAACGGCAGGGCTAATGGCGAGGAAAGTACGCGGCAACTTTCAGAAACGTACAAATCGCCTGGAGAGTACCTTTCGCCACGGGGATAAAGCTTCTCCAGACGAAAGTAGAATAATTAATTTCCCTCGTAACATTCAATGGAGAAGAGTGGGGGGAGGAAAGGGAGATATTTAATTGAATTCCCGCGATCAAGAAGCAAGAGGATAGAAATCATGATTCTCCCTCCCGATCTCCCTCTGATTTCCCCTCTCAAACGTTGAAATTCAAACCGAAACACGGACTTGATTCGTGCACGTTTGTTCCGACATTGGCCGGTTCGCGGATCGCGAAAAAAAAAAAGAAGAGAAAAAGGAACGAACGTACCCGGTGGGCGCGGTGAATTGGCTTGATTGTGTTCCGGGGAAATTCGCGTATCGCGTGGTTCTCGATAGGTCATTAATACGACACGCTGGGGCGGCGGCATTCGCGAAACGCTGCGCCAAACGAGGCCATTTTCGCGCAAAAATAGCGCGCGTTGCCCTGGGCGTCGCGACGTTTCGCGGATGGAAAATACGTTACCGGAGGAACAAAGGGAGAGGGAAAAATAGAGAGAGAGAAAGAGAGGTGCTGTGTGTTTCGGAACGTCGAACGATAGCCTCGAAACGCGGTCAAACGTAGCGCCTACACTCTGTGCTCTCTCCCTCGAATCAGAAAAGAGGGAGCACGTCGTGCGCGAAATCGGTCCACGGACATGCTTTATTCGTGTAACCGTGCCCACCCTAGGGCAATCTGCCTTGGTAAAAGTGTTTTAATTGAAATCTTCGGATCCGTACTCCTCTCTACCTCACTCTCACTCTTCCTCTCTTTCTCACACTCCTCTTCCTTTCTCTCACACTCTGAATCTCTCTCACTTTCTCACTCACTCTCCCTCTCTCTCTCTCTCTCGCTCTTTCACTCTCGCTGGGAACGGCGATCCACGGTTAATGGAAAAAAGCATCGCGACGACCGAAATATGACGGGCAACTGATATGCGGCAGGGGGAAAAAGCAAGACAGCTCGGTTCGTTTCCCGGCTGTTTTACATGGAAATAACGCGGCATCGTGCTAAAGCGTTGCTCCGCTGGTTGGAGTATCTCGAAACCGGGGAGGTGGGCTAGGGAGACGCACAGCCTGGGCACAAACGGTCGATTGTAATCGTTTGACACACTTTATTGTCGGGCTGGCAGATGGAAGACGAAGAAAGCGTTTTGTAGGCCAACGAGTCAACAGTCCACGTTTCACTCCACGAGCACTGGATCGTTGGTACGAAGAGAAATTCGTCTCTGTCGTTTTTTATTAACCCGTTCACGATCAGATTCTTCGTTTCATATTCGCCGTCCAAACGGGCACGAATTTCTTTTTCCCGTGTAAATTCATATTCCGCGGATGGGGGATACTGTAACGTGTTTTCTGGATTTTTAGCGGTGCGCTAGCTACGCTTTACCGAAACAGAGGCGGAAGGTGGAATGTAATACGAATCGTTCGAGTACTAAAATTTATTAAAAAATAATAATTACGACGATAAGAAGAACGAAATAAGACTCGAAACTAACGAAAAGAAGACACTTTGTGGAAGAAAGAAGATCACTGAACGCTGGTCGCTCGAAGATTGAAGAAATGGATAAGGTGCCGGCTTAACCCTTGCCTTACGAGTCAGACTCGCAGCTCTTAATTAATTCGAAATACGTTAGCTTTTCTTATCTAATACAGTACTGAAACGGTAAATAGCTCACACTTAGATGCATAGTCAGCCAAAAAAATCATAAAGCAAGGGATTAAAGGTCGTGGATGGGGAAAGGATAATAAATCCATTCATAAATATCAACGCCCAGAGTAAAAGCTGTGGTTGTTCCTGCGACAGTCCAAGATTTGCACAAATTGGACAGTAGCACGAAATCACCGTTAAACCTACAATAACGTTTTCCGAAAAAGTTCCAGCGCAAAATCACCTTAAGATCACCAACGAAATCGTACGTGACGGTCGCGGGTTCCATAATTAAAAGCGTTCGGATCGAAGCGGGCGCGATTAACCGGTGGCAAACACCGATTTCCGTGGCGAGGCACGATCGGTTAAAAGCGATGTGGCCATTTTCGCGCAAAAATGGCACGTACTTTCCCCCCAGAGGAGAGCTGTGCGGCTCCGTGATGGAAAACGCGTTACGATGGAGTGGCACGCAAACCTGGAATGGATCGTATGGGGAAGAGTTCCACTGCATTAACCACTGGCAACCTATCACCGCGGAACCATTCGCTCGACAAACAAGTCTCTCTCCTCTTCCATCACCCTCTTCTCCTACCCTACCCATCCTCCTCCTCCCTTTTTCCCTCCTTCCAGCCATCTACGAAGGTCTGTCTTCCAAACACTCCAGCTTCACCGTAGTTTCTCTCCACCGTTCAGCCAAGAATCCTTCAGGAATCGAACGTGCACGCGGGCGCAGAAAATAGAGGAAATAGAAGGTGTACAAAAGTAAAGGAAAACACACACAGAGTTCTCGGAGAGGCGATGGAAAGCGAAGGTTTTCGATTTCTCGCAGTTAGCTGATCGAATCGTGAACCGGCCAAACACAAAGAGAGAGAGACGCTCTATCTCCGGTCAGAACGAGGGAACGTAAATTTCCGTCGCGAGGATTTAACGAGCAACAGCGGCGTCCAGATTTCGCTAAAGCGCAAGATGATGGGAGAGAGAGATTCGCAGAGTGGAGTAATTGAAAGGCTGCGGCTGGGTGGCGTCGCGACGTCATTAGATGCCACGACGGAGTGTCTTAAACGTTTCAGTTCGCGGAACGTTCGTTAAGCTGTTCCTATCCAGCGAAGAAGTACGAGAGAAGAAGGTTCGGCTGGTTGGGTAGAGATGGAAAGAGGGGTTGCTTAAAATCGTTTAAACGGTATAATGGATATTACGCGGAGCGAGAACGTTGCCCTCGCCGTTCTCACCCTCCCTTACCTGCGTCGACCCTTACCGCCGTGAAAAAGAGACGATTATGTAGCAACGCGGACAGAATTAAACGGGCAATCTTGAATATCCGTTCAAACGTCGCGCCGCGACGATTTAATAAAACGATCCTCTCCGCTCGTGTTCCACGGAGGTTGTCCCGTACAACCGTGGAAGAAAACGGTGTTCCACATCGGTTCTGCCCATTTTTCTACCTCTTTCATTTCCTCTATCCCTCCCACCCACCTTCTTTCTTCCTTACGGTACACGACATACGCTAGCATCGTCTCTGTACTACATGTACCGAAGGTAAACGCTAAGCAAACAAAGACTCACCGCCCAACCGCAATTCCGCAATTCCTTGAGCCATTTCATACTCGTTCCTCACAAAGCACTGGTACATGCCGCGATCCTCTCGTGCAACCGACATCACGGAAATATGCTCCCTGGAAACCGCCCTTATGCGAGCGCCAGTCCTCAATGGCTGACCGTCCTTCAGCCAGTACAGCGCCGCCTGCGGAAATCCACTTGCGCTGCACGTCTGAAAAGCAGTTTAGAGAAAAGGGACCGATGAGAACACCATGGCCTTCGTACGGTGTTGCACGCCGTGGGACGAATATGCCCACGAATTCAACGCGCTATCCTTTAACCTATGTATATCTACCGTAGGTAGTCCTTCCTTTCCTTCTCTCCCTTCGAAAACAAGATTGCCATCCGGGCAAAGACACGCGCGCGTCTCTGTTGCAAGAGAAGAAGAGGTCGAACTTAAAGCGCCACGCTGCGCCACGAAACCGGCTCTTCCGCCTTTTCGCCGTGGCCCTCGTAAAAATCGGATTACTGCGGAACGTGGATCGTGGCAAATGGCTCGGATGCCAGGGAAGAATTTACCGCCGGATGAACCCCTCTCTCCTCGTGCAGATTGTGATCTAGTTGCTTTATGTCGAGCACTTTTCTGTTTTTTTTTTTTTCGGGCTTCTTCGACGATCAGGGAAGCTCGGGAGTAATGACTATTTTATGCAATGTTTCTTTCTTGGGTTTTTTTTTTTGAACAGCGGTGAATTGAAGTGGGTTGTAAATCATCTTTTTCGACGATGACGAAAGCGCCGGAGTAATGACTATTTTATGCAATGTTGAAGTCTTCGTTTGGCTTTTTTTTTAGAGTGGTGAATTGAGGTAAGCAGCAAATCATTGTTTTCGACGGCGACAGAAGCTCGAATGTAACGATTGTTGTTCTTTTTAAAGTGATGTATCGAGGTAAGTAGTAAATTATTCTTTTCGACGACGACAGAAGCTCGAGTGCGATAATTTTGGTTTTTTTCAAAGTGGTGAATTGAGGTAGGTAGTGAATTATTTTTTTAAACGATGACAGAAGCTCGAATGTAACAATTATTGTTTTTTTTGAAAGTGGTGAATTGAGCGAAGTAGTAAATTATTTTTTTCGACGACGACAGAAGCTCGAGTGTGATAATTCTAATTTTTTTTCAAAGTGGTGAATTAAGGTAGGTATTGAATTATTTTTTTAAACGATGACAGAAGCTCGACTGTAACGATTATTGTTTTTTTGAAAGTGGTGTATTGAGCGAAGTCGTAAATTATTCTTTTCGACGACGACAGAAGCTCGAGTGCGATAATTTTGGCTTTTTTCAAAGTGGTGAATTAAGGTAGGTATTGAATTATTTTTTTAAACGATGACAGAAGCTCGACTGTAACGATTATTGTTTTTTTGGAAGTGATGTATTGAGGTAAGTAGTAAATTATTCTTTTCGACGACGACAGAAGCTCGCGTGCGATAATTTTGGCTTTTTTCAAAGTGGTGAATTAAGGTAGGTATTGAATTATTTTTTTAAACGATGACAGAAGCTCGACTGTAACGATTATTGTTTTTTTGGAAGTGATGTATTGAGGTAAGTAGTAAATTATTCTTTTCGACGACGACAGAAGCTCGCGTGCGATAATTTTGGCTTTTTTCAAAGTGGTGAATTAAGGTAGGTATTGAATTATTTTTTTAAACGATGACAGAAGCTCGACTGTAACGATTATTGTTTTTTTGGAAGTGATGTATTGAGGTAAGTAGTAAATTATTCTTTTCGACGACGACAGAAGCTCGCGTGCGATAATTTTGGCTTTTTTCAAAGTGGTGAATTAAGGTAGGTATTGAATTATTTTTTTAAACGATGACAGAAGCTCGACTGTAACGATTATTGTTTTTTTGGAAGTGATGTATTGAGGTAAGTAGTAAATTATTCTTTTCGACGACGACAGAAGCTCGCGTGCGATAATTTTGGCTTTTTTCAAAGTGGTGAATTAAGGTAGGTATTGAATTATTTTTTTAAACGATGACAGAAGCTCGACTGTAACGATTATTGTTTTTTTGGAAGTGATGTATTGAGGTAAGTAGTAAATTATTCTTTTCGACGACGACAGAAGCTCGCGTGCGATAATTTTGGCTTTTTTCAAAGTGGTGAATTAAGGTAGGTATTGAATTATTTTTTTAAACGATGACAGAAGCTCGACTGTAACGATTATTGTTTTTTTGGAAGTGATGTATTGAGGTAAGTAGTAAATTATTCTTTTCGACGACGACAGAAGCTCGCGTGCGATAATTTTGGCTTTTTTCAAAGTGGTGAATTAAGGTAGGTATTGAATTATTTTTTTAAACGATGACAGAAGCTCGACTGTAACGATTATTGTTTTTTTGGAAGTGATGTATTGAGGTAAGTAGTAAATTATTCTTTTCGACGACGACAGAAGCTCGCGTGCGATAATTTTGGCTTTTTTCAAAGTGGTGAATTAAGGTAGGTATTGAATTATTTTTTTAAACGATGACAGAAGCTCGACTGTAACGATTATTGTTTTTTTGGAAGTGATGTATTGAGGTAAGTAGTAAATTATTCTTTTCGACGACGACAGAAGCTCGCGTGCGATAATTTTGGCTTTTTTCAAAGTGGTGAATTAAGGTAGGTATTGAATTATTTTTTTAAACGATGACAGAAGCTCGACTGTAACGATTATTGTTTTTTTGGAAGTGATGTATTGAGGTAAGTAGTAAATTATTCTTTTCGACGACGACAGAAGCTCGCGTGCGATAATTTTGGCTTTTTTCAAAGTGGTGAATTAAGGTAGGTATTGAATTATTTTTTTAAACGATGACAGAAGCTCGACTGTAACGATTATTGTTTTTTTGGAAGTGATGTATTGAGGTAAGTAGTAAATTATTCTTTTCGACGACGACAGAAGCTCGCGTGCGATAATTTTGGCTTTTTTCAAAGTGGTGAATTAAGGTAGGTATTGAATTATTTTTTTAAACGATGACAGAAGCTCGACTGTAACGATTATTGTTTTTTTGGAAGTGATGTATTGAGGTAAGTAGTAAATTATTCTTTTCGACGACGACAGAAGCTCGCGTGCGATAATTTTGGCTTTTTTCAAAGTGGTGAATTAAGGTAGGTATTGAATTATTTTTTTAAACGATGACAGAAGCTCGACTGTAACGATTATTGTTTTTTTGGAAGTGATGTATTGAGGTAAGTAGTAAATTATTCTTTTCGACGACGACAGAAGCTCGCGTGCGATAATTTTGGCTTTTTTCAAAGTGGTGAATTAAGGTAGGTATTGAATTATTTTTTTAAACGATGACAGAAGCTCGACTGTAACGATTATTGTTTTTTTGGAAGTGATGTATTGAGGTAAGTAGTAAATTATTTTTTTCGACGACGACAGAAGCTCGAGTGTAATAATTTTGGTTTTTTTCAAAGTGGTGAATTGAGGTAGGTAGTGAATTATTTTTTTAAACGATGACAGAAGCTCGACTGTAACGATTATTGTTTCTTCAAAGTGGTGAATTGAGGTAGGTAGTGGATTATTGTTGAAGCTCGAATGTAACGATTATCTTTCTTTCGAAAGTGGAGAATTGAAAGCAGCAAATCATTGTTTTCGACGACGACAGAAGCTCGACTGTAACGATTATTGTTTTTTTGAAAGTGGTGTATTGAGCGAAGTAGTAAATTATTCTTTTCGACGACGACAGAAGCTCGAGTGTGATAATTTTAATTTTTTTTCAAAGATGACAGAAGCTCGAATGTAACGATTGTTGTTCTTTTTAAAGTGATGTATCGAGGTAAGTAGTAAATTATTTTTTTCGACGACGACAGAAGCTCGAGTGTAATAATTTTGGTTTCTTTCAGAGTGGTGAATTGAGGTAAGCAGCAAATCATTGTTTTCGACGACGACAGAAGCTCGAATGTAATGATTGTTGTTCTTTTTAAAGTGATGTATCGAGGTAAGTAGTAAATTATTTTTTTCGACGACGACAGAAGTTCGAGTGCGATAATTTTGTTTTTTTTCAAAGTGGTGAATTGGGGTAGGTAGTGAATTATTTTTTTAAACGATGACAGAAGCTCGACTGTAACGATTATTGTTTCTTCAAGGTGGTGAATTAAGGTAAGTAGTGGATTATTGTTGAAGCTCGAATGTAACGATTATCTTTCTTTCGAAAGTGGAGAATTGAAATAAGTAGTGAAGTATGCACAGAGAAGAGAAAAATAAGGATGTGTCTCGTTCCGGTTAGTTAGCTCAGCTCTGAGCCGCGTTCGATTACCAAACGGTGTATAAATCGCGGAGATAGAGAGAAAGGAAAGGATGAAAATCGTGAATTACCAAATCAGCGGCTTTCCCAAGATCGACGGTCTGAATCGACGGTTGAACGTGCACGCTCAATGGCGCAGACACCGTTAACCTCACTTCCATGGACTCGTTGCCCTCGGAATTACTGGCGGTGCACATGTACGAACCAGCGTCGCTCTCCTGAACACCTTGTATGATCAACGAACCGTCTCGTACCACGTAATGCCCGGACGTGTCCTCGATTGGTTCCTCCCTCTGGTTCCTGTTGTAATACCACCTACGACAGAACAGACAAACGAGGAGAAAAAAAGAAGAAGAAGGTACCGCGGTGAATTTTTATAAAATGTCGACGGTTTGGTGTCTGGGCTACATCGAAATCGTAAAAAAGGGGGAAGCAACGAAGAGTTTCGTCACGGATCATAAAGAGGCGGTGTTACGAGGCTACGGCACAATCGGAAATTCTATTTTAGATCCCGTCGATAACCCGTCCACTGGACCAACGTAAATTTTCGAATATACTTTCTTGGATGGTAGTTCGTGAAACGTAAGTGAAAGTATGAGATAGAATCGTGTTACAATTTTGAAGGTACACGCGAATGTAATTTGGTAATGTGAGAGTATTTTTTTTTTTTTTTTATTTTATTGCTTTATCATTAGGCGGTTTTCGAGCGCAAGCTCATTTCCGCCTTTTACTACTTCGAGAAAGTATTATTATAATACTTTATATTTACTAAAGGTTAGGTATAATACTTTTGTTCATAATTTTTGTATAATTAATTACGATAAATTTATTTATTTCCTCGAGTGTAGTATTGCAAAAAGGAAGTTATTTTATTTCAGGTCTCTTTGCCGTGCAGGATTAGAATCCTGACGTTGCCCGTCCCTGCCCCGTGGAGGCGGACCTGTTTATCTACTTTAATTTGAATTTCTTATTATTGTTTTCTTCCAAAGAAGTCTAATACTGTTCTTTTATTCCTTTTTCTAAAGTTTCTTTCTTTATTTTTAGATGCTGCGAGCAAACATCCGTTATACTTAGAAGCACGTATGGCAATGTGAGAGTAGGGGGGAAGGGTTTGTTAACGGTTTGAAATATTGAAAGTTGGAGTTTTAAAGTTTGCGAGGATTAGTCTTACGATATTGATCACCGCCCTAGATTGTGCATCGGTGGAGATGAAAGGCGTTTAACACGCAAAAGTCTCGTTTTGTTGGTGAAAGGGAAAGTCTAGTGCTGTACACTTTTAGCGAAATCGAGAGATTTACAAATTAAAAATGTTTTTAACGTTTGGAATCTTGAGAATTTAAATATTTGAAAACTTGACGATTTTAATGTTTGGAAATTT